TTTTTATTCAAAAAATGTTTAAGTATTTGTGCATTCATGTATGCGTTTGCGTCTCTCTATTCAAACGCAGAATTTATTAAAAATAAATCTAACGCTTGAAATTCAATGAAGCTGTTCTAAAATATCTCAAATATTGAAATGAATTTTACTAATGAGCCAGAAAGAGAAACAAATAATTGCTCACTGATGCAGATTTAAGAATTAAGTGGGAATAAAACTCAACATTAAGATTACTGACTTCTTTCATTTTCATAATAAATATGTATTAAACATCGTTGCAAAATAAATAAATGTTTAATTTGTTTTTTTTTTTTTTGGTGATTTTGTTTCTATGTATTTTCTTACTGCTGTGTATTTAACTTTATTTTGTTTCCTTTTTTGGTTCATTTCGTACGTCAAAGGTGTACTTATTTATTGCGTATTTTATTAAATTTTAAACGTGTTGCAATGTATGTTTAATTTGTGCATTATTTTGTAAAACGTCTAATTCCTAGCCGATTAGTGCTCACCAGCGGCCGAGCGGTATTGTTGAACACTGTTAATTCAGTCCAGGTTTCACGAGTCCCATGTGGTCTAGTGGTTAGGATTCCTGGCTTTCACCCAGGCGGCCCGGGTTCGATTCCCGGCATGGGAAGTTTTAGGTTCCATGGTGTAACGGTTAGGACACTGAATGCAGCGATCCGAGTTCAAATATTGGTGGAACCTTTTTGAAATTCTAAGTTCTAATACTATTTTTCTTCACATTTCAACACCTGTGTTCCAGTTTACTGGTTTTCAAGCAGCATCGCGCGGGGTCAGTTTCTGGGAGGGTGACCTTCCACGTGACTGGCTTCGACGAATGATCAGCTAGAGTCTAACGACAGGACTCGTTACGACTATACACAGGACGTTTTTCGCCCCAGCTGGACGGCTCACGCTTTTCTAGCCGCTAGTAGCAGTTTACGATCCTTTATGCTACTCTTTTCTGTCTTTTCAGCTCCCAGAACCAAAATTTATGTAACTGATTTTGATATTTTTATTATGATTTTTGTTGTTTTCACATTTTTGCTCTAGAGAATAACTGGTTACTTCATTTCACATCTTTCGAAGCCACCAAACGTTCTACAAGGGGTAAGACCTTCGGGCTAGGCATCCTGGTGTCTCAAACACCGTTCTACTGGGGAAGTCCAGGTTTCGAATCACTGCGAAAGGGGTGGCTGTATGGACGTTTTCGAAGTTTTCCCCATGTGTAACATGTACACGAGTCAGTTTCCCTTAAAATGACCTCCACGGAGGCATATCTTTCCTTAGTCAGATGTCAACCAGCGGCCAAGCGGTAAAGTCGCTGAACATTGGTAGATTGGTCCGAGGTTCGAATCCCGTGTACAGGATGGCTGCATGGACGTTTTCGTGGTTTTCCTCATGTGTAACGAGGAAACGACGAGTCAATTTCCCTTAGAAAACGACAACCCTCATACGAACCAATTTCCCTTAGAATGTCCTCCACAAAGGCATCTACCCCTCGAGACAGCCGTAGGCAGACAGCCCTCGAGGCTTTGCTGTAATTAAGTAGACCGACCCTTAAGCAGATAGCCCTTCAGTTCTTTGCCGTAATTAATTATAGCAAACTAAACCAATCTTAGCTGCTTGGTTTTCAAATTGTAAAGATAATTCTAGTAGAATAAGAGATATGGATAACATCCCGCGATCCAACTTAAGCGTTGGCAAGATAGTGACACTTGGCGATTTCTCGTCAACTTAGCGACATTTCGAAATTTTCCAGAAAACGCTGTCTTGAAACCTAGGACTGCTTTTGTGGATTGCTCCAGAAGTAGAGAAAGAGAGCAAAATGTTCTTTTGAAGTTGTTCCGCGCAAGGAATGAGAATAAGGTATTCTATAAATTATCAAGAACCTGATATTGTCTGCTCTACAGATCATACCATGATCGCTTTTATGTATTGTGTGAGCGATTGCGCGGACAGATCTTTAGCGGGACAGGTTTTTCCCGAACGACGTAACGCTAGTTCACAATGCGATTGTATCCATTCTATGCATTACTTTTAGATCTCTATTAAATTTTAGTTGACTTTGTATTTACCTTCACTAATTATGTCTTTTTTAGTATCTACATTTTATTTGTCGTTTTCTGAAGTTAGTACTGTGATGTTTTTATGAATTACGGAAAAAAATCTATCACTTACAGAAAATCCAGTTCTATAGGTTCCAATTTTATAAGCTTCTCCTGGCGACTTTAAAAGGCATATGAAAAACAACCATCCTGCAGTAAACATTGTGATAAAATACAACTGACTTTAACCGATGAAAACGAAAACGAAACAAACAAAGCATAATAAAAATGTTTTTTAGGCATTTAAGTTCATTGTTTGCAATTTATAACAAAATGTCTAATGAAATATATGTTCCATGACTATGCTTTGTGTATTCTTTAATAAAATATTATGGTATACTTTTGAATTATTACAAACTTTAATTCCGTTGAAGATAATTTGACCTAATAAAATTCAATTTATAATGTCATAAGGTAAACTTGCTTATCAGGTGTATTTAAAATATTTCATAACCGAGTTATATAAAGGCAAAATAACAGACAACAAAATTGATTTGATAGTATTAATTACGTCACCCCGCAAATCAATCCAAAAATGCGCTCTAATTTCAAAAGCCTAAATTGATTGGGAATTTTTGCTTAAGTTTATGTGATAAAAGTGGCCTTTTTGGCAAGAATACACTTAATTTAGAAGTCAAACAACAAAAATCAGGGTTATATTTTCAAATTTTATACAGGACTAGTTTCTCGGCTGCAAAAGTGCAAATGAACGGTATAAGATATAATGATTAGATAAGATAAGAAAGACTTTTGCGCTTTTGCAGCTGAGGTTGATGGCTCGGTAAAACCATCGAAACTAGTCCTGTAAAAATTTGAAAATATAAACGCTGATTTTTGTTGTTTGACTTCTAAATTAAATCTTGTTCGGCGTGTTATTGTATCTTAAGAATAAGAATACACTTGTTGAAGTGTTTACTTTTGCTACCTTTTCCAGCTGATCGGAATGGATTATTGTTAGTCTTAAATCCAAAGATTCAAAGACATATTCCAAAATGAACTCTGTTTAAAAACAATTCTTTAAAGGTCAGAAGAACAGGAAACATCCCTATACAGAAATGTTTAGCGGCGAAAATGAAATAAAAGGTGGACGTCAAATTTGGCGACTTCGTTGTTAGATAAACTTTACTTTGTTGCTCGTGATCATGGCCGGTGCGCAGTGCCGAGTTTGTGCAAGTCTCTGAATTTGTTTAGGAAAAGAGATTGTTGTGCATATGGGAGAACAATAAAGGGTTTTCTTTTTTTTTTTATATCTCACATAATCTTTTTTAATAGTTGTTTAATAAGTCTAATAATTAGTCACATAATCTTTTTTTAATAGTTGTTTCGTTTAGTAGTTTAATAAATCTTTTTTTTTTTTAATTTTTATTTCAAATTGCTAAAATTTGCTTTCCTTTGACCTGCTGACAATGCTTGCAGACTTACGACAAATATCGATATTTGACGACCTTCTAGAAAAGAGTCGCCAGAAACCACCCTCTTGTGTTCCATAAATGAATTTTACCGTTCTTAACAACAATGTTGTAGACAGCAACCGGCGAGTTGCATTGAAACTATTAGTCTGTTTTACACTGATAGTTTTCAGCTTAAAAATTATTAATTTTGATATAATCTTCATTTCGGTGTGGTTCCATTTTGTCGATTTTGGTGATCTACGATATTCCTCGCAGGTTAATCGCCTGTTCTTGTGCTCTCTTTGAACTTTTAGCCGTTTAGGATTCTACGTAAGAACTGTTATTCATTATAAGTTAGAACTCACTTTTTCCCGTTTATCTGATGCAGTAGCTATCTACAAATCTCTATCATGCAAAACCTCTATCACTTAAGGAGCTATTTACAAACCTCTGCTAGGCGGATCGGGCTGAGCCTAGATTCTAACTAATAAACTAACGATGCAACAATATGTCATGTGTTAAAAATTGAAAAACACCCATGAAACAATTTGACTTAACCAAATCGGGATTATGCCTTCCCGTCGTTACCGCCATTGTTACCTACAACTCTGCCTATTTTTGGCAAGGTTTAATCTAATTAGACTAGCAATAATATTATTACATATATCAAATCTAATTAGTAATTGATATTATTGCCAGAATTAGATAGTTATTACCAATCAGTATGTAAGGATCCTAAGTTTTACTAACGTTTATTTTATTTTAAAACTGTACTATCACTTCTTATTTTCTACTTCCGGCCACAATTAAATGCTTTAACTTGTTTATGAAAATTGTCTTGCTAACGTCCAAGTACTTAAGTTGTTGCTTTTTGCCAAGAGAGAGAGAAGGAGCTTTAGGAAGCAAGCCGCTAGCCACTGCAGTTTTACGAGTTTTCACTCGGTTGCTGGTTGCCTTTAAGGCCAGAGGTTTAGCCCTCTTGATATTTGAAAACGTATTGTAGTTTCAGCAGCTCGGCGTACTACATACATACCCCTTTTAAATAAAGGCGAGTCTTAGTGCTAGGCATTTGTATACTAATTCAAAGTTAGCTTTTAGTTAGAGTTTTAGTTAGTGGTTTTATATTACGTTCAGACCACAAGTGGATGGTCTCTGTATCCCGAAGTTCGGGAATACCTGTAAAGTATTGAAAATAAAGGGTTTCGTATACCCTTCCTGCTTGTTTTGTCTACTTCACACATTCTTGAACATAGCTTGAGTAAGCTCCCTGTTCCTATTCAGGACCATTCATGTTTCCAAAGCAAAGCAAGAGAAACACAAGTCTTGACAAGATAACCTCCTAAAGATTAGTCAACTCTGCAAATATTTTTTTGCTTGTTTGTTCAATTACCTACTTTTTTACGTTCCATATGTTAAAATTACGAAAACAGTCGGAATGATGGTCTTTAGAACTGACATGGCCACCACTATTGATGTAAATAGGTTGTACTTACGCACTTACTTGGGCATTTATAGAGCAAGTTGGTTTGTGAAATTTCCCCCTCGCTGAGTCGAACTCGCTGCCCTATCTCGGGTCTCTTTCGCTGCGTAGGGTCCTCTTGCGGTAAAATGGTGTCTAGGTAGGTACTTTTAGAGAAGGTGTTGCGGGCGTAGTGCATGATGCTGGCGTAGTCGTATGGTAGTCCCAGTGACGTCACTTCCTCCTCCGTCAGTTGGTTGAAATTGTACTCCTGACCTTGCAAGGAGAAAGCGTATAATGAACGATCGGTTAGGACAAAACATCAGTAAAAGTACAGCAAAGTAATAATGTATATATGTTACCGTGAAAGACCGAAATTGGAGAATGTCGACTTTCACCTGAGAATGTCAACATTCACCAAATACGTCGGTGAAAGATCAAATATTTCTTTACATTCTTGTACATTCGGACCCTCACCGGTGTATGTCGACAATCACAGATATGCTCTGGTGTAGGTCGAAAAGAGAAGAGTTATTGTACCACGCTGCCATTCCAAAAGGAAGTGTTTCCACAATAAATGCAGTTGCAAAAGCAAGGGCCTCTGTGCAATTCAAAGTGTCATAATAGTTTAAAGTTGTTGCAATAAATAAGATTTGAATCACATAATTTGGTAAGTTTATAACTTCTATTATTTTCCTTTCGCATTTTGAATGTACTGTGTGTTTTAAGTTCTTATTTCTTCTTATTCTGCGTCTCAAGTTTTTTTCGCGAATGAATTACGGAGAACGAAATATAATATTCTTATATGTTCAACATTCACCATTAGTACATGGTGAATGTCGACATTCACCGGTGTAAGTCAGAAATAAGAGTATTTGGAAAATAGTTCGGACATACAACAAGCGACTATGTGAATGTTGACATTCACCGGTGAAAGTCGACATTCTCCAGATTTCGGTGTTTCCCCGTAACATATACAAAGAATTATTTTACTACATGTATGTCTACTATAACAATGCTCGATTAACCGCGCAATAGCTGAGCCCTGTTTGAAAAAAAAAGAGTTTATTTATTGAGCAACTATGTAAAATTTACCGTAAAACAAAAGTGTCTACGCAAAACAGGAAAACTAAAAGAAAATTTCATGGAATAATACAACTCACAGAAGATAGTAGGTCATAGTAGGTGAATCTATTTCTGTCTATAATAATACGTTTCGCATTACTGCGGACTACAAACACGACCGTTACAGTGTTAGCTTCCCAGTCTTGCAGATTTTTTTTGCTCCTGATGAAGAGGGACCTGTACCTGTTTGCCTTCCAAATGGATTAAGACATTGACATAAATCTACGACAAACTCAAGGCTGTTGTTTTACTAATTTACATACTCAAGTTGTTATTGAATTTATAAATATAAATGAGAAAAAATTTCTACAGTTTTAGTCCAACAACCTGAGGCTGAATAATTTCACTCTTTTGGGGTAAGACTCTGTAAAACTGAGAACCCTTAACTTCGAAAAAAAAAGACCTAAATACTGTCAGAAATCTGACTGGAAAACCCACATATTAAATTAAATTAAAACTTTCTGTAACCTTTCCGCTATCATCTTATCTATTTTATTTTCAACTCAAATAATTCCCCCCCTAAATATTTGTATATATTATTTTAGGGTGAAAACTCTATAATAAAAACATCAACTTTAGAACTACTAAAGGCTAAAGAGGAGAGCAACATATGGATTGAAATTCAGTATTACCTATTGTGCTGAAAGCAAAGCTTTGCTTAGCCTTGCCGCGCAAAACTCCTATACTCTGTTGACATTTTGAGCTGCGAACTGCATTGTTGGCCGAAGAATGGAAAGAAGATTGATATTCTATTCCGCCGAGAAGAGGAAATCCGTTTTGTTACTTTATGCTGCAAAAGTTTGGAGGGCATTTTCTTCGCTGAGGAAATTGGCAATGTGTGTACTAACAGTATTTGACAGGTAGCAATTCTCCAGACAACTTAAAAGAAACACGTACAGAAAAGCGTAAGCAGAAGAATGTTATTTTTTTTTATATGAAAGAGAAATTCTGAGAAAGTCCACTTTTATGTCATTCCAAAAAGCATAAAATTCTAGAAACTTAAATGCTTTCATATTGTTGTAAATAAATTTACAACAATATGGAAACTTACTTAAAACTAAATACTTCAGTTCAATTGATTTCACTGTTATTTTCATGTAATGATGTAATGCTAGGACATTTTTTTTATTTTTTGTTTTATGCAATAATTTTAGGATATAGTTTTTTAATTAAATCTGTAGTTACATAAATGTATTTGTAAATATATATTTCTTATGCAGAATTGTAAATCTTCTTATTCTGAAAAGACCAACGTTTAAATTGTGAAAACAGCTCTATTATTAGCTCAGATAAAGACAGAAACTCTTCTGATTAGCATTAACAACAACGGTCGTCGACAAGCTGACGACATTTGACATCAAGTTGACGATATTCCTGAAAGTTTTCAGAAAACAAAATTTGAAGCTGCAGAAACGAATTTTCCAGAAACTTCTAGAGGGATAGGTAACACTATTATAAATACAGTTTCAAGAGTTATTCAATTAGCTCAGACTTTAGTAGTTAGTAACTTCAAAGACTGGAATGTTTTAAAGAGATAAATGGGGAATAGTGAATTAAGTATTAGAGTTTACTCTGTGAGTGATGCCAGTAATCTGTGATATTTATGTGTTCGGGATGCTTTTCTTTACCTTTGAGTTATTTCTCCTTACGCTATTTACAGCTATTTATTTTTTTTGTGTGTGACATTATTATTAATAATAGTCTATGGGTTTTGTTCATCTGGAGTGACTAATCAACGAATCTGTACACCTCTACAGCATTTTCTATTGTTTTTGGCATGAATTATTCCTCCTTCTTGAGTATTTTTCACTGATTTCGTATTAACCACGGTTTTGATTAACCGTGAATTAGCCTTGTTTTTCTTTTCCCATTAACTGCCTTTAGTAGAACCGTGGTAACTGTGCGCTTCGGATTAATGGCTCTATGCACACCAAAGTCCTTAACCTGGCTTTTATTTGCTCAAACTTTGCCCTAGACTTATATTTCAATTTACAAAATGGTTTTAAATGATGCAAATATTCATGTTTTAGCATATTTTAATTTAAAGAAATCAATTTTTTATAAAAATTACGATATCTAAGTTTTTAAACATAAGATTGCTGAACAATGGTAGTTCGACAGAGGTTCAACTCCGGCTGATAGGCTGCTTGCAAAGAAATATTTCTGGTTTTCTCCATGTGTAATGTGTATAAGAACCAGTTTCCTTTAGGAATTCTCCGTGAAGACAAACGTTTGTTCATGCACATAACCCTTACAAATTATTTGTGGGAACAATTATAGGACAACCACTAAGCGGCATGAGTTTTAGCTAAGTTATAATGATACATAAGTAATGAACAAGTATACAAAACCGCTGAGTATGGGTAGTTGGATTCGGCGAAAGTGCTAGATATGTGGGCGTTTTCATGGTTTTTCCCATGTGTAATGTGTATAAGAACCAATTTCTCTTCGAAAATCCTCCACCAAAGACATAACTTTCTTTAGGCAAATACTTTTAGTGTTCTCCAAATAATCCAAACCAAACCACGCTTATATTAGTCATCCATCTTTTCATGTTATAATCTTTTAAATGTTTGCCATTAATTGCACACATTTTATGCTAATGGCCAGCTTAAACTCTGTGTCGAGCAATGTAATGAGAAGTTTCTTTTACTCTTATTATGACTAGCTACCTTAAGTTCTACAAATATTAGGTATCTTTTGAAAGCAAGGGATGTGAAAAAGGAGCAAGACCCCCATCGGGAATCGAACCACAGATCTCTCGAATACTCGTCGAGCGTGCTAACCACTACACCACGAACACATGCTAAGAGGGAGGGATAAATACCTTATATACTCTCCCTTTTAAAGGGCGACTGAGGAATAGGAGACCTAATCGCTAAATCCTGGAGGTGGAGAATCATCATCCACCACCTATTTTAGTTCGGGCGCCAGTGTGGAGATATTATATTATTTTGAAGCAGGGGAGATGAAAAATGAGCAATGCCCTTGCCGGGACTCGAACAAAGGACCTCTCTAATACACGTCGAGCGTGCTGATCACTACACCACGAAGGCATGCTAAGAAGGCGGGAGAAATACCTTATAAAGCTGCAAATAAATGCTTTATTTACTACATTCATTTGGCAAATAAATGCTTTATTTACTACATTTATGAGTATACAGTTCCTTCATTTTTCTGAATTTTTATATGTTGGTTGAGAATACGCCGGATGATTATCATGGATTATATGACAGCATATGGATTAAATGATATAATGGATTCATGGATACCATTGATACCATGGACTATATGGTATCATGGATTCTATGCCTTGGATTATATGTATAAGCCGTATGATTATCCACAATGATCATTACATATCATCGCTGTGGATGATAGTGAATAATCAGTTCATAGTCTATCAAAACATGAAGTATATTTATAATTAAATGTGGGTAAAAGAAGAACGATATAGCATAAAACATTTTATTTTAATATTAAAATAACTTAAAAAGTTAATTAGCAGCAATTGCTAGATTGTTATTTTGACAACTCTGAAATTGTTATACACTGGTTGGTGAAATATTTTTAATTAAAACACATTATTTTTTCATTGCGTCTCTAGGGACAACACAGCGTTAGAGGTCGACAAAACACAAGGAACAGTTAGATCAAGGCTCGAATTTCTTATATTTTTTGAGTTTTTCTCTATTACAGCATTTTCTGAACTTACTAGAGCATTGGGTGATACATTTTAGGGCACTTCAGAGCATTTTATAGCATATTCGACAAATCAAATTAAAAAGTAAAATTATTCTCGAAGTAATACAGTCTTCACTCCTATGAACTCATTTTGCAAGCATGCGTTCTCCACAGAAAATTGAATATGTAATTTGTTAGTCCTATCTACACTTCTAAGAGATCTTTCATGTCGGCATTTCTTAGCTCTTTAATAACTTTTGTGCATGTTCAGTTCCCTAAGTTTATATGCAGAAAGGAAAAAACTGTTCCAAAGGCACATTCTTGGAATTACACACTCACAGCTGTGTGCAATACATTTTGCTACCTTGATAAAATTCCCCTGTTTTCTTTTTCTGTTCAGCTGGTATGGTCCGTCGGCGGGAAGTTGGTGAATGACCTTGAATCTTCCCATTTTTAAAATGGCACTA